AGAGCTGAATTGGATCATTGGGCCCTGGGGCTCTAGGGCCTGGAATCTGGCTCTGATGGGGTCATTTTGACTGTTCTATCTTTTCCATCCCCTTGTTACAGGGTGTGACCAGAATCAATCAGAGATGGCAGAGAAGACCAGTCCAATCCCTGCTTTACAGTGATGGGGGACAGGAAAGGGCATGTATTGCCCAGAGTTATTTAGCTAGAATCTGAGTGGAGGCTGAGCCAAGGTGTCTTGACCTCCTCACCATGCTGCCAGTTTGGCAGTCAAGTCTGAGTCCTTAGCATGCCCTACCTGTGCTAGTGTCTTGGCATTAGAAAAAAGGGTTAGAAATGGTCGGTAGGTGCAGGATGGCGAAGTGATGGGCTGAGAAGCATTTGGAGTTGCTGTGGGACACCGTCCTCTGCCTCAGAACTGCAGGGCTAACCCAGAGCCACAAGGCTAAACTCCCAACTTCTGACAGGGCCTTCTAGAACCTGTGGTCCCAGCCCCATCCCCCCTGCAGCCCCATCTTCAGTTGTCTCTTCTCATGCTCTGACAACATGGGCTTGGTTTCCTTCCTTTCACTGCAGGGCCTTTGCATGTGCTGTTCCCTCTCTCTGTAGCCCCACTCCTACAAATTAATGTCTACCCAACCTCCTGGGGCTAGGTCAAATGTCACATCCTATCTTTTCCTGATTCCCAAGACCAGCCTGGGCCTCCATCTACCAGCCCCATAACTCTTCATAGCCTTGTCCGAGGTATAATTCCACCACTCTTTGCACAGTGGTTTGAATCCTTTTTCTTCCTCTAGACTCTAAGTTCTCTGATATGTATTCTCCACATTCGGCACAGCGCCAGGTGGAGAGTAAGCCCTTGATAAATGTGGAAAGTGGGGCGCCTGGGTGGCTCAGTTGGTTAACTGTCTGCCTTCAGCTCAGGTCATGATCCCAGGGTCTTGAGATCAAGCCCTGAGTTGGGCTCCCTGCTCAGCGGGGAGTCTGTTTCTCCCTCTCCCTGTGCCCTTTCCCCTGCTTGTGCTCTCTTTCTCTCAAATAAATAGATAAAATCTTATAAAAAATTAAAACAACAACAACAACAACAACAAACATGTTTGTGGAAAGAATGAAAAACAACAGCTCTCAGTTAAAATCCTGGAGCTTCACACCAAACCCTGGTTTCCTCCTTTTCTGAAATGGGAATGGTAACACCAGGATCAGTGCGAGGGTGAGCCAGTAAATGAGGACTCCCGCCACATAGTTGGTTAAGAATAAGGAAGAGGGTGCTGTGAAATGTGTAAACCTGACAATTCACAGACCTTACCCCTGGGGATAAAAATATATTATATGTTTAAAAAAATAAAATTAATAAAAAAAAAGAATAAGGAGGAGGTCAGAGATTGAAGTGGGCAGGGGGTAGTTGAAGAAGGCTGTTCAGGGGTGGAAGGACTTGAGAGCTAGATGGATTGTGCCAGCCAAGTAGTAGGGATCTGGGGGAAAAGACTGGAGGTGGGGAGCTGGGATGTGAGACGCATTGAGACAGCTTGGCTGGGTGGGGCCATTCTCTGAATCTTGGGTGACCCTATTTATTTTTCAGCCTGACCCAGGATGCCCAGGGTTGACTAAGAAGGCAGGCAGGAAATGCCCACTGCCTCCTGGGACCCCATGTAGGTCTCTTGGCTCCAGGCTGGACCTGCCTTGGTGATGGGGTCTGGGACACTGCCAGGGTCTCCCCCACTGGCCTACGCATAGAGCTAAAAATAGCAGAGGAGCCCTGGGCAGGCATCTGCAGGGGCACTGACCCAGCCCTCGTGGCAGGAAGCAGCCAACCCCCAGCTTCTGGGGAAGGAGCTCCTTCCTGGAGCTGCCCACACTGGCCCGCCCTCAGCCTCTGGCCCCCAGGCCCCAGATGCTGCTGTCTGGCAGTGGGGAGTGATTCCTCTAAGTGGACCTGTTCATGACTCATGCCTCGCCTCTCTGTAAAGCCTGCTGGAAGCCAGAGGTGACAATAGCTCCTGGCCACCAGCACAGGGGCTGGATACAAGGGGATCCCAAAGAGACCTCTGTACCTGCCTGCCTCTGTGCAGAACTCGTGGATAGAAGCCTGAGGCCTGGAGCTGTGGAAGGAAAATAAGTGAGTTACGTTTATGGCCCCTCTGGGCAACTTAGGGAGAAAGTTGGGGCTCAGAGACGGTGTGCTACTTATCTGAGGTTGCACAGCAAAGTTGGGGGCATAAATTCCCAAGCATAGACACAAAGGCTGCATGGCTCCCAGAACAGTAAAGTGGGAGAAACGGACTGGAACTGTTGCTCTGCTTGGATGTCAGGCACTCCGGGGAAAGGCTGTTTGTCTCTGTTTGACTTCCCTGGGGTCCACCTGGAGGCCCTGGGAAGACTCCTCAGGAGGTGTGTTGAGCCAGAGCAGGCAACAGCCGTGAGCTCATCTCCCCGGAGGCCCCCAGGAAGTCTGGTACAAAGGCAGAGGAGAAATGGTCGGGAAAGGAGGGAACAGGAAGATAGTAAGGGCCTTTGGGATAGGCCATAAAGCCAAGCTCAGGTGCGGGGAAAGAAAATGACATTTGCTGAACACCTACTGTGTTGGATCATTCATGTGCATTCTTCTTCCTCTTTTTTTTTTTTTTAATATTGTGTTTGTTTATTTGAGAGAGAGAGAGAGAGCAGGAGGAAGAGGGAGGATCTCAAGCAGACTTTGCATTGAGCACAGAGCCTGATGTGAGACTCAGTTCCACAACCCTGAGAGCATGACCTGAGCCAAAGCCAAGAGTCGGATGGTTAACCCACCGAGACACCCAGGCGCCCCTCTTTTTCTTTTCTAAGATATATTGATTTATTTTAGAAAGATAGCGTGTGGGAGCAGGGAGGAGGGGAAGAGGGAGAGAGAGTCTTAAACAGACAACTCACTGAGCAGGGATTCTGATGCAGGGCTTGATCTCATGACCCCTGAGATCACGACCTCAGCCAAAACCAAGAGCAGACCACTCAATGGACTGTGCCACTCAGGTGCTCCTGTGTGCATTATTCTTTTTTTTTTTTTTTAAGATTTTTTTACTTATTTATTTGAGAGACAGAGACCACAAGTAGACAGAGAGGCAGGCAGAGAGAGAGAAGGAAGCAGGTTCCCTGCTGAGCAGAGAGCCCAATGCAGGGCTTGATCCCAGGACCCTGAGACCATGACCAAGGACCCTGGGATCATGACCTGAGCCAAAGGCAGAGGCTTTAACCCATTGAACCACTCAGGCGACCCTGTGTGCATTATTCTTTACGAATTCTTCACCAGCCTCCTTGGGGGCTGAGTATTTTTACTCTCATTGTACAGAGGAGGACACTGAGGGTGGAAGTGGCACCAGGTATCACCACAGTGTGGACTCTGCAGGGCACCTTGATGGACTGGGGGCACCAAAGTTTGGCTCTCCCTGGACTCAATCACATCACAGCTAGAGCAAAGCCTGGATTTCTCCTATTTCCAGCTCCGGTCAGCAGGGGGAGGCTGTGCTGCATCTGGCTGCAGGAATTAGGAGCAGAGATTGGGACTGGGTTTGCTAGGAGAGGAGAGGAGGCTCCTTTCAAAAGCTTCTGGATTCTGGAAGACCTTAGCCATGCCTCTGTGATGGCCGAGAGATGGGGAGGACTGCCTGGATTCGCTAAGTGGCAGCTCTGTTGCTGCCCAAGAACAAAGTCGAAACACATAAATTCAAGGCTCTTATAGCTTCTCTTTCCTCAAATACACCCATCCTTCCCTATTTTCCACTGCCATGTCTTCGCAGATGCTCTTCTCTTGGCATGGGATGCCCTTTCGGTTCCTTTCTGCCTGACCAACTCCTACTCATCCTTCAATACCTGGCTTCAATGCCACCTTCTCCAGAAGCTTTCCTGGACTTCCTCCATCCCCCAAAGTCCATCTTCTCTCCTGTTCTTTCATGCTTTTAAGGGCAGGACTGTATCTAAATCATCTGTGTGTCCCCAGTATCTAGCATAGGATGGGACACATAATAGATGCTTAGTAAACAAATGGGCAACATCCCTCTGCGGAGGTTGGAGAGTGAGGGTCTGTCTGGGGTGGAAGTAGGTGTGGGGGACACAGAAGATGAAATGCTTATGCATCAGGCCTGTTCAGGATCAGGCTGACAGGGAGCCTTAGGGGTGAACTTAAACTTTATTTCTCAGGGGCATCATGAAGTTCCAGGGAGATCTTGGGTGTGAATGAATTCTGTAAACTGTAGCGTGCTGTCCCTGGTAGGTCTTTGTACCTCTCAACTTTGCCTTGTTCCCCTGATGAGGGTGGAGAGAAAGGTCAAAGAATGAGGGAGGGGGCAGAGCAGGGCTGGTGAGGGTGGGGTGGGAAGGAGTGCAGCCTCTGCCATTGCCCCAGCTCTCAGAGGCAAGGAGTGGGTGGGATTCTGAGTGCTAAGGGCTGGCTTGGGACTCCTTCTCCTATGGGATCTAACACCGTATCAGAGTTCGGCATGGCCCCAGAGATGATGTAAGCCAATGTCCTTCCAAGGAAGGGTAAACTGAAGCCCAGAGAGAGGCAGGCATTTGCCCAAGGTCACACAGCAGGAGTGGGAGGCCATCCTATGAGCCCTGTCCTCCAGCATGACAGGTGTCCTCATCCTGGGCTCAGATCCGGACAGCTGTTTCCCTGATCCCTCCTCCTGGCCCCGCAGTCTCCGGCGCCCAGCACGCAGTGCCCCACACCCCAGCCTGCCCCTAGGCTTAGCCGCCAACAAGCATTGCGCGCCCCTTGGATGGCACGGTCCGGACAGCTCCCGACCGCCCTTCTCCTTGACTCACCTCCAGCCCGGGAGGGCCGGGATCAACCGCGGCTGACAGGGCGCCGCCCGCACCGCCCCGGCTGCGCCACCGCCCCGGACTGTTCCGGCGCGGCGAGGCCGCCCTCCTTGGCTTCCCCGGGTGGGGCAGGTCGAGCCCGGTGCGCTATCCCTTTAAGCCCGGGCGAGATGGGAGCTGTCAGCGACAACCGAGGCTAGACGTCGCCGCCCGCCAGGCCAGAGGCAGGAGCCGCGGAGCGAGCGGAGAGCGGAGGTGGCGGCGGGGCCGGGCGCTGCAGGTCCCCTCGCCGCCCGCTGAGCTCTCCAACCCTGGGCCCGGCGAGGCGGGCGGCGCCCAGTGTAATGCGGAGAATGTGAGAGGCAGCGCAGGGCGGTGGGGAGGAGGGGGCGCGAGAGAGGGCGGCGGCAGGATAGACGGAGAGACAGCGGGAGAGAGAAAGGACAGGGAACAGGGAGCAGGTGGAAGAAAAGAGAAGAGATAAAAGGAGAGGCAGGGACAGGAAAGGGGGGGCAGAAAGGAGTGAGAGAACACGCGGCACGGGCGGCGGCGCAGGCGAGGAGGGGGACGGCTTCTTCGGGTGGGAGCGCCGGAAGCCAGAGTTGGGCGCCCCGGCCGGGGTTCGGGAGGCGAGTGCGGCCGGGCCGGACATGGTGGGGGAGCGGGGAAGCCGGAGGGTCCCCCTCTGGAAGCGGCAGGGGACCTGAGGCGGGCGGGGAAAGGGACGCAGGGCCAGTCCATAGGCCCCGCGGGCCGCGCTCCGGGGGCTCCGGCGGGCCGGGGCAAGGGGGCCTTTGTGAGCGCCCCAGGAGTGCGGAGCCGGGTGTGCGGCGGCGGGGATGTGTGCGCGCCCGGGGCTGCGCGTGTGTGTGCGAGTGTGAGCGCCCGGGTGGGTGGGAGCGCGCGTTAGGGATTCTGCTGGCATCTCAGCGTGGAGAGCAGGAGGCAGGAGTGGGGCGCGCAGGGGAGCGCGAGGCCCTCCCGCGCACACGCACACGCCGCGCGCGCACACACATACACACACGCACACGCCCTCCCTGCCTCGCTCGCTGCCGCTGCCACCATCTCGGAGCCGAGCCCTGCGGAGCGGGAACCCGAGCGGGAGCGGGAACCGGAGTGGAGCAGAGCCAAGCCGGGGAATGCGGATCCGGAGCGGAGCGGCGCGCAAAGTGCGCGCCCGGGACGGTGAGTGCGGCCAGGCTGGGACGCTGCGGCTGGGCCGGGGCCCCCGGGGCGCAGGCCGGGGAGCTGGGGTGTCTGCCCGCCGGCAGCGCCGCGTGCGCGGCCTCTGATTGGGCGGGAGCCTCGGGGGCAGTGGGTGGGGGTGGGGGGTGGGGTGCGCGCCCATGGGGGCGTGCACGCGCGGAGATGGATGGGGCGCGCTCGGCCCCCCAGTCCGTGACCGCGCTCCCGCCCGCTGCGCGGCCCCGCCTAACCCTCGCCAGCTGCCGGAACCCCGGCGACTTGGAGCAACTTTGTGTGTGGGGGGAGAGGAGATGGAGGCGTTTTAATGGTGGAATTCCGGCCTTGCCTTCCTGAGGAGAGAACTCGAGGGAGGAATGGGACGTGGGCGCCGGATGTGCCACCCGGCAGGCCAAGGGGTGCGTCTCCACCACCCCATCGGCACAGCCGCCGGCTCTCTGGGACACCAGTCCCTTACCCTGGCGCCGCGCTGGAGCCGCTCCCGGCGCTGGACTCCTGTGACTCCTCCAGGGTCCGGCGGGACCGCGCGGCGACGGCTTCCAGGCCCTGGGGCCGCAAGGTCGTCTTTGCAGCCAGGCTGAGGACACAAGGCTTGAGGTGGGGAGTGGGGAGACGTGCCTGTGTGTACATGTGTGTGCCCGCGCCTTCTGCTGCGTGGGACAGGCGGCTGAAAGAAGGGAACTGCCAGATAGGGGCATCGCGTTAGACCTGGCCTCCAGGAGCTCCCAAGAGGCCAGGGATTGAAAGGGGAACCTCTAGGTCCCTGGCCTGGTGCACCCCCCTGCCCCCATGCCTGTTTTGCTTGGAGCCATGCTTCTGTGTGCTCTACCATGTGTCAGGGCTGTGCCTGTGTTGTGCACCTCCCCACCCCCCTCCTGTTCCTGAGTCTCCTTCCACACTCCTGTCCCGCCCATTGCTGGCAGCCTCAGGGAACTTCCCAGGCCCCTCCCCAAATGGCAATCCTGCCCCTGGATAGGATGGATGAGGGGATGTAGCCCTAGGTGGTGCCCCTGAGATGGAGGGACCATGTCCCCTCCAGAGAGAGGCCCAAGGAAAGGTCAGAGGTCAGGACTTCCCCTATACAAATCCTCCTTGCTGCCAGGGCAGGTTTTTCCTCCTCTAGGAAGTCTTTCCTGGTTGCTCCTTGAATCTGTCCTCTGGGCTCCGGTTTCTGGGTTGGAGCAGCTGGGTTCCCCAGCAGTCCTTGTTCCTGTGCTCTCTCCTGGCACTCAGTGTTAGCCCGTGGGGGTCAGAAGTCTTGGTTCTCTGCCTATGTGTTATGCAGGATCTACCTGGCTCTCTGGGGGATGGCAATATTTTGTTTTACCAACCTTCAGGCTTAAACCTTGCTTCCACTTCCTTATCCTTCCGGAGTCTTGTCAGCCACCTGGTGAGAATGGAAGGCCCATGGACACAAGGCCACTCTATTTCACAGACGGCGGTTTTGAGACAGAGATGGAACTAGGAGAACTCCAGGCTCCAGGCAGCCCCTTTCCACTGGGAAGGTAGCCTTTCATCCTAGTCTTGGTGAGATGGGGAGGGACTCTGGCTACCTGCTTCTGGAGAGTCTCCTGGGGCCGCTGTCCTGCTGCCTGGGACCAGCACCCTCCCCAAATGGGCAGGAAGGTGGGCATAGCCACTCTCAGCCTTGTCCCCCTGGCTTGGCTTCTGGCACCTCTTGTCCCCAGCTTCATTAAGTTTTGCTTCTTAGATTTGGGGCTGGAGTCTACCTGGGCTCCGCCTCCTGGTTTGCAAACCGGCTTCCTGCAATCCTCCGCACTGGGATGTCTGCATTGTTCTGGGGATCAAAGGGGTTTCCCCACCCCCAGCCTGGCCCTATAGGCTATGTCCTGGCATTGCCCTCTTGTGTGGGCCCTGGAATCCTTCCCACTCTCCTGAGATCTGCATCCTAGAGCCCCATCTGGCCCAGAGAGCTCACCTCAGGGAGGCTTCCTCACAGACATCTAAATGTGCACTGGTGGGAATGGACTCTGGGGGCTGTTGGGACCACTTCCTACCTTGGTGGCCCACCTGAGGAACAGGAAGCTAGACTAGCTCTCAGCCCCAGGCAGGCTTCTGTGAGCCCTCCCCCCATGTTGGCAGCCTGGACTCATCCCCAGGGCCACTTTGGTCCTTAGAGGCCTCTGGGGCAGGGAGAGCTGTTGCCCAGCAGTGGCCAAAGCTCCTCCTGAGGTTGGGGTGCTCTTGTGTTCTGTGGTGGCTGCTCAGCCTCTTTACTGGTTTCATGTTCCGGTAGCCCTGCTCTCACTCAGTGGCCTTTCTTTTCATCGTTTCTCTTTTCTCTCTCTCCCCCCTTCTCCATCCCCTTGTGGCTCCCTGAGCTCTCTGCTTTCCTGTGTGTCGACTGATGCTCTGGTTGACACCCAGGTGGCTAGAGCGTGGCCTGGTGCCTGCTTGGTGCCACCCCTGCCACACAGGTCCACTTTAATCTCTGCCCAGCTTTTTCTGGCCCCCCTTCCCACCGCAGGACTCCAGCAGGCTGAGCCTGCCATTTGGGGTCTCGAGCCATGGGGAGGGAGGGAGGAGGGTACCTCTTTGGCCCTAGGTCTGTGCTGTCAGGGATGTGAATCCCAGCCAGGTGCCCCTAGCTTTAGGAAGAGCTACTCCCCATCAGACCTCTGACCAGTGGGACCCCTTCTTTCCCTCTCCAGCCAGTCTCTGACTCTGCTGTGGGTGTGTTTTAAATTAGAAAAGTGTCATATTCTAACAAATTCTGTGATAAGTTGTTGGGTGGGCTGGGCCTTGGGGTGATTTGAGTGGGGTAAGTTTATCCCTGACTATTCAGGCCTCATTTGGGGGACCTGGGGGCCACTCTGGCCAACCAGAGTCTCCTCCACGGGTTTCTGGGGCTTGCACATCTGCTCCCGAGAACCATGACTTGGCCTTGCTCCTCATTGCCTAGAATTCTCAAGTAAGGGGCTTGCTCCACATTTGGGGTCCTCTCTTGGTTTGAGGCCTGGGCTGAGTCCTGGGGATTCCAGTGACAAGCCTGAGTCCCTCCCTGGGTGGGTTCTGGAAGGGGACACAGGTATCCACCCTGGGTATGAGGCCGAGTGGGCTGGGCAGCTGCAGAGGGACGTGAGACAGGGTTTGGCAGCAGGTTGTTTCAGGTGGACAGGAGGCTGGTGTGTTGACCTGCTCAGATGTTTCTGGCACTTGGTAGAAGCCCCGTGAATATGCTGAATGCATAAGTGAATGGAGAGCACGAACAAGGGAAGGCTTTCCAGGCAGATGGCACGGTGTTAAGGAAGGCATGGCAGTGGGAAGCACCAGGCATGGGTGGAGCATGTTTGCAAGGGAGTAGCTCATGCCGGGGCACAGCCGGCCCGGAGCAGGTTGGCACAAGACCCAGGAGGGTCTGGAGTGCCCAGCTGAGAGTGTGGGCTGATTCCACATTCAGGGGCTGCGGGGTGGAAGTTCTGGAGGGACGGGCGAGCGGATCTGCAGTTTCAAGAGCTCCCTCTGGTGGTTGTGGGAGGGGTTGGCCAGGGGAGCCGGAGGCGGGATGAGGTCCTGAGTCTGCCAAAGGAATCCAGGCTGGTGGTGAGGGCAACAGGATGGTTTTCCACCCCAGGAGGGTGGAGAGATTCCACCTCGGCGAGGAGCCTTGTGGGGCGGAGGATGTCATCCATCCCGAGTTGGGCAGGGCCTCGGGGATATCACGGGTCCCACCACTTGGGCAGAGGGAGGTGGCGGGTGTCAGAGACTCACAAATACTGGCCCTCCCACTGGGTGTGCTTGAGCAGTTCCCCTGATCCCTCCCACCTCTGTGTCTAGGTCTGCAAAACGGATAAGTTTGTCTCCCCAGAGACCTGGGGTGGGTTTGGGTGGAAATCTGTGACCGTGAAAGTGGGCTACAAAGAGAAGGGGTAGAGTGCTGGTCACACTTCTCTTGGACAGAGGAAGAGTTGGAGGACCGGGGACGGGTGGTGGCCTGAATGAGGTCACAGGACAAGCTGGGGGCAGGGTGTTCCTGCTTGGGGTTTTCCTGGCTGGGTCTTTGGTCTGCGGGGCAGGGGCGGGTGGCATGCCCAGGGCCTCCAGGCCTCTGCAGAGGATGTCCTCAGGCAGTGGCTTCTGCAGTCCAGCTGTCAGGGAGCATATGGGGCCATATGGCCCCATCAGGGGAGACGCCAGCCACTGAAGGAGAAGGAGCAGCTGCCATCCTGGCCTTCTGGATCTACGTGGGCACTGCCAGCCATTGGGGTCGGGGCGGGAGGAGGCCAGAATGGAGCCTTGGTGTCCAGGTTGGTTTGGACATGAAGCTTGGGTCTTGGCAGATGGTCCCTTTCCAACACCCATCTGCCAGAGTGGCCGGACAGGCGGCTTCAGGCGCAAGCCTGATCCAATTAGGCCCAGGCCAGCTGTGCCAGGTGCCCTCCACGCCCCTCCCCCCCCCCGGCTCGGATGGCCTAGCGGTGCACAGGCCGTGGGTGCTACAGGGCATCTGATGTTGGGGCTTCAGGGCTCAGCGGAGTATGCCCAGCCTTGCCCTGGGCATGGGTTCTGTAGCTCTAAGATTTGGGGGGGTGTGGAAACGGGTCCCTCGAATCAGCCTGGGGTGGTCAAAAGGGCGTGGGCGTGGATGGTGTCTGGATCTGGGTCTGAATCCTGGCTCAGCTGCTTCCAGGCTGGGTGACTTCAGGCAAGGCCTTTCACTTTTCTGAGCTTCGGTTTCCTTATCCGTACCATGGGAGAGTGATATCTCTGCCTCGTCGGGGTGTCATGGGTGTATTTTGAAGTGACAGGAGGAAGGCAGGCACTGGCCTGATGCGTACAAGAATCTCAGGGAATGTTGGTTCATTTTTGTTCTCTGCTGGGAGAGGGAAATGAGGCCTCTCAAAGTATCCATATCTAGACTGAAGTAGAGAGAAACCTTATTATTACTATTTTCCAGAACAAAATCTGCTTTACAGCTTTCTGTAAGTTTTTCTACTCCTTCCCTCCTCTAGATCTCATGG